ATCTCATTGAATTTTGCTTTACATTATCAGTGCATATATGTGGGTATGTAAACTGCTTAGAATTTAAAGCTTACTTGTTTCACAGGTAGTCCCTTCGTAGCCAGGATCACAATCGCACGTAAAGCTGTTAACTCCATCAATACAAGTTCCTGTACTCGCGCAAGAAGTAGTAGTACAATCGTCGGTATCTGTGCAAATTGAGTTCAAAAGACAAGGAGTCGTATTAAAACAATGATCAAACTAATCTCCATGTTAACATACTTATATTTATTTCAGAGATAACAGGTCGATCTAGTCAAAACTGGTAACTTAAATAAGACTAATGACAATGAAGGATAGAGTTACTTCATTTGTAAAACTATCGATAAATAAATCTATCAAAGTAAAAGGGAGTGAAAAACTCTTGTAATGTTTGAATCTTTTCCAAAATCGTGGCCTATGAAAAAAACTTATTTCTTGAAAAATATCGTTAACTCATCAATATTAATGGGCACCTGACCGATGAAAAAGATCAGAAAGCAAGTGATTTTCAATTTCTGCTGAAACCAATGTGATAATAAATGAGAGTTTACATATACATGGTGTGCGTCTTAATACGCCTTAGCGCTAAAATTGAATTCGCTATCATCTCAATGAAATATGTCAGTCTAAATGTATCCTAAAACAGTTCTTTATTAATAGAGATCGCTGTACTTTCACGTCTGGTGACTCTCAGGTAAGAGAAACATCCAAAATTTCCCTAACAGTTACTAGAAATTTATTTTTTTATGTTTCCTTTTTCGCTTTGTACCTAAAATTTCTCGATGAGCAACGAGTAAGAATCTCATTGAATTTTGCTTTACATTATCAGTGCATATATGTGGGTATGTAAACTGCTTAGAATTTAAAGCTTACTTGTTTCACAGGTAGTCCCTTCGTAGCCAGGATCACAATCGCACGTAAAGCTGTTAACTCCATCAATACAAGTTCCTGTACTCGCGCAAGAAGTAGTAGTACAATCGTCGGTATCTGTGCAAATTGAGTTCAAAAGACAAGGGGTCGTATTAAAACGATGATCAAACTAATCTCCATGTTAACATACTTATATTTATTTCAGAGATAACAGGTCGATCTAGTCAAAACTGGTAACTTAAATAAGACTAATGACAATGAAGGATAGAGTTACTTCATTTGTAAAACTATCGATAAATGAATCTATCAAAGTAAAAGGGAGTGAAAAACTCTTGTAATGTTTGAATCTTTTCCAAAATCGTGGCCTATGAAAAAAACTTATTTCTTGAAAAATATCATTAACTCATCAATATTAATGGGCACCTGACCGATGAAAAAGATCAGAAAGCAAGTGATTTTCAATTTCTGCTGAAACCAATGTGATAATAAATGAGAGTTTACATATACATGCTGTTCGTCTTAATACGCCTTAGCGCCAAAATTGAATTCGCTATCATCTCAATGAAATATGTCAGTCTAAATGTATCCTAAAACAGTTCTTTATTAATAGAGATCGCTGTACTTTCACGTCTGGTGACTCTCAGGTAAGAGAAACATCCAAAATTTCCCTAACAGTTACTAGAAATTTATTTTTTTATGTTTCCTTTTTCGCTTTGTACCTAAAATTTCTCGATGAGCAACGAGTAAGAATCTCATTGAATTTTGCTTTACATTATCAGTGCATATATGTGGGTATGTAAACTGCTTAGAATTTAAAGCTTACTTGTTTCACAGGTAGTCCCTTCGTAGCCAGGATCACAATCGCACGTAAAGCTGTTAACTCCATCAATACAAGTTCCTGTACTCGCGCAAGAAGTAGTAGTACAATCGTCGGTATCTGTGCAAATTGAGTTCAAAAGACAAGGGGTCGTATTAAAACGATGATCAAACTAATCTCCATGTTAACATACTTATATTTATTTCAGAGATAACAGGTCGATCTAGTCAAAACTGGTAACTTAAATAAGACTAATGACAATGAAGGATAGAGTTACTTCATTTGTAAAACTATCGATAAATGAATCTATCAAAGTAAAAGGGAGTGAAAAACTCTTGTAATGTTTGAATCTTTTCCAAAATCGTGGCCTATGAAAAAAACTTATTTCTTGAAAAATATCATTAACTCATCAATATTAATGGGCACCTGACCGATGAAAAAGATCAGAAAGCAAGTGATTTTCAATTTCTGCTGAAACCAATGTGATAATAAATGAGAGTTTACATATACATGCTGTGCGTCTTAATACGCCTTAGCGCCAAAATTGAATTCGCTATCATCTCAATGAAATATGTCAGTCTAAATGTATCCTAAAACAGTTCTTTATTAATAGAGATCGCTGTACTTTCACGTCTGGTGACTCTCAGGTAAGAGAAACATCCAAAATTTCCCTAACAGTTACTAGAAATTTATTTTTTTATGTTTCCTTTTTCGCTTTGTACCTAAAATTTCTCGATGAGCAACGAGTAAGAATCTCATTGAATTTTGCTTTACATTATCAGTGCATATATGTGGGTATGTAAACTGCTTAGAATTTAAAGCTTACTTGTTTCACAGGTAGTCCCTTCGTAGCCAGGATCACAATCGCACGTAAAGCTGTTAACTCCATCAATACAAGTTCCTGTACTCGCGCAAGAAGTAGTAGTACAATCGTCGGTATCTGTGCAAATTGAGTTCAAAAGACAAGGGGTCGTATTAAAACGATGATCAAACTAATCTCCATGTTGACATACTTATATTTATTTCAGAGATAACAGGTCGATCTAGTCAAAACTGGTAACTTAAATAAGACTAATGACAATGAAGGATAGAGTTACTTCATTTGTAAAACTATCGATAAATGAATCTATCAAAGTAAAAGGGAGTGAAAAACTCTTGTAATGTTTGAATCTTTTCCAAAATCGTGGCCTATGAAAAAAACTTATTTCTTGAAAAATATCATTAACTCATCAATATTAATGGGCACCTGACCGATGAAAAAGATCAGAAAGCAAGTGATTTTCAATTTCTGCTGAAACCAATGTGATAATAAATGAGAGTTTACATATACATGCTGTGCGTCTTAATACGCCTTAGCGCCAAAATTGAATTCGCTATCATCTCAATGAAATATGTCAGTCTAAATGTATCCTAAAACAGTTCTTTATTAATAGAGATCGCTGTACTTTCACGTCTGGTGACTCTCAGGTAAGAGAAACATCCAAAATTTCCCTAACAGTTACTAGAAATTTATTTTTTTATGTTTCCTTTTTCGCTTTGTACCTAAAATTTCTCGATGAGCAACGAGTAAGAATCTCATTGAATTTTGCTTTACATTATCAGTGCATATATGTGGGTATGTAAACTGCTTAGAATTTAAAGCTTACTTGTTTCACAGGTAGTCCCTTCGTAGCCAGGATCACAATCGCACGTAAAGCTGTTAACTCCATCAATACAAGTTCCTGTACTCGCGCAAGAAGTAGTAGTACAATCGTCGGTATCTGTGCAAATTGAGTTCAAAAGACAAGGGGTCGTATTAAAACGATGATCAAACTAATCTCCATGTTGACATACTTATATTTATTTCACAGATAACAGGTCGATCTAATCAAATCTGGTAACTAAAATAAGACTAATGACAATGAAGGATAGAGTTACTTCATTTGTAAAACTATCGATAAATGAATCTATCAAAGTAAAAGGGAGTGAAAAACTCTTGTAATGTTTGAATCTTTTCCAAAATCGTGGCCTATGAAAAAAACTTATTTCTTGAAAAATATCATTAACTCATCAATATTAATGGGCACCTGACCGATGAAAAAGATCAGAAAGCAAGTGATTTTCAATTTCTGCTGAAACCAATGTGATAATGAATGAGAGTTTACATATACATGGTGTGCGTCTCAATACACCTTAGCGCTAAAATTGAATTCGCTATCATCTCAATGAAATATGTCAGTCTAAATGTATCCTAAAACAGTTCTTTATTAATAGAGATCGCTGTACTTTCACGTCCATGGTGACTCTCAGGTAAGAGAAACATCCAAAATTTCCTTAACAGTCACTAGATTTTTTTTTTTATGTTTCCTTGTTTGCTTTGTACCTAAAATTTCTCGATGAGCAACGAGTAAGAACCTCATTGAATTTTGCTTTACATTATCAGTGCATATATGTGGGTATGTAAACTGCTTAGAATTTAAAGCTTACTTGTTTCACAGGTAGTCCCTTCGTAGCCAGGATCACAATCGCACGTAAAGCTGTTAACTCCATCATTACAAGTTCCTGTACTCGCGCAAGAAGTAGTAGTACAATCGTCGGTATCTGTGCAAATTGAGTTCAAAAGACAAGGAGTCGTATTAAAACAATGATCAAACTAATCTCCATGTTGACATACTTATATTTATTTCACAGATAACAGGTCGATCTAGTCAAAACTGGTAACTTAAATAAGACTAATGACAATGAAGGATAGAGTTACTTCATGTGTAAAACTATCGATAAATAAATCTATCAAAGTAAAAGGGAGTGAAAAACTCTTGTAATGTTTGAATCTTTTCCAAAATCGTGGCCTATGAAAAAAAACTTATTTCTTGAAAAATATCGTTAACTCATCAATATTAATGGGCACCTGACCGATGAAAAAGATCAGAAAGCAAGTGATTTTCAATTTCTGCTGAAACCAATGTGATAATGAATGAGAGTTTACATATACATGGTGTGCGTCTCAATACACCTTAGCGCTAAAATTGAATTCGCTATCATCTCAATGAAATATGTCAGTCTAAATGTATCCTAAAACAGTTATTTATTAATAGAGATCGCTGTACTTTCACGTCCATGGTGACTCTCAGGTAAGAGAAACATCCAAAATTTCCCTAACAGTCACTAGAATTTTTTTTTTTAATGTTTCCTTGTTTGCTTTTTCCCTAAAATTTCTCGATGAGCAACGAGTAAGAACCTCATTGAATTTTGCTTTACATTATCAGTGCATATATGTGGGTATGTAAACTGCTTAGAATTTAAAGCTTACTTGTTTCACAAGTAGTCCCTTCGTAGCCAGGATCACAATCGCACGTAAAGCTGTTAACTCCATCATTACAAGTTCCTGTACTCGCGCAAGAAGTAGTAGTACAATCGTCGGTATCTGTGCAAATTGAGTTCAAAAGACAAGGAGTCGTATTAAAACAATGATCAAACTAATCTCCATGTTGACATACTTATATTTATTTCACAGATAACAGGTCGATCTAGTCAAAACTGGTAACTTAAATAAGACTAATGACAATGAAGGATAGAGTTACTTCATTTGTAAAACTATCGATAAATAAATCTATCAAAGTAAAAGGGAGTGAAAAACTCTTGTAATGTTTGAATCTTTTCCAAAATCGTGGCCTATGAAAAAAACTTATTTCTTGAAAAATATCGTTAACTCATCAATATTAATGGGCACCTGACCGATGAAAAAGATCAGAAAGCAAGTGATTTTCAATTTCTGCTGAAACCAATGTGATAATGAATGAGAGTTTACATATACATGGTGTGCGTCTCAATACACCTTAGCGCTAAAATTGAATTCGCTATCATCTCAATGAAATATGTCAGTCTAAATGTATCGTAAAACAGTTCTTTATTAATGGAGATCGCTGTACTTTCACGTCCATGGTGACTCTCAGGTAAGAGAAACATCAAAAATTTCCCTAACAGTCACTAGAATTTTTTTTTTTTATGTTTCCTTGTTTGCTTTTTCCCTAAAATTTCTCGATGAGCAACGAGTAAGAACCTCATTGAATTTTGCTTTACATTATCAGTGCATATATGTGGGTATGTAAACTGCTTAGAATTTAAAGCTTACTTGTTTCACAGGTAGTCCCTTCGTAGCCAGGATCACAATCGCACGTAAAGCTGTTAACTCCATCATTACAAGTTCCTGTACTCGCGCAAGAAGTAGTAGTACAATCGTCGGTATCTGTGCAAATTGAGTTCAAAAGACAAGGAGTCGTATTAAAACAATGATCAAACTAATCTCCATGTTGACATACTTATATTTATTTCACAGATAACAGGTCGATCTAGTCAAAACTGGTAACTTAAATAAGACTAATGACAATGAAGGATAGAGTTACTTCATTTGTAAAACTATCGATAAATAAATCTATCAAAGTAAAAGGGAGTGAAAAACTCTTGTAATGTTTGAATCTTTTCCAAAATCGCGGCCTATGAAAAAAACTTATTTCTTGAAAAATATCGTTAACTCATCAATATTAATGGGCACCTGACCGATGAAAAAGATCAGAAAGCAAGTGATTTTCAATTTCTGCTGAAACCAATGTGATAATGAATGAGAGTTTACATATACATGGTGTGCGTCTCAATACACCTTAGCGCTAAAATTGAATTCGCTATCATCTCAATGAAATATGTCAGTCTAAATGTATCCTAAAACAGTTCTTTATTAATAGAGATCGCTGTACTTTCACGTCCATGGTGACTCTCAGGTAAGAGAAACATCCAAAATTTCCCTAACAGTCACTAGAATTTTTTTTTTTATGTTTCCTTGTTTGCTTTGTACCTAAAATTTCTCGATGAGCAACGAGTAAGAACCTCATTGAATTTTGCTTTACATTATCAGTGCATATATGTGGGTATGTAAACTGCTTAGAATTTAAAGCTTACTTGTTTCACAGGTAGTCCCTTCGTAGCCAGGATCACAATCGCACGTAAAGCTGTTAACTCCATCATTACAAGTTCCTGTACTCGCGCAAGAAGTAGTAGTACAATCGTCGGTATCTGTGCAAATTGAGTTCAAAAGACAAGGAGTCGTATTAAAACAATGATCAAACTAATCTCCATGTTGACATACTTATATTTATTTCACAGATAACAGGTCGATCTAGTCAAAACTGGTAACTTAAATAAGACTAATGACAATGAAGAATAGAGTTACTTCATTTGTAAAACTATCGATAAATAAATCTATCAAAGTAAAAGGGAGTGAAAAACTCTTGTATTGTTTGAATCTTTTCCAAAATCGTGGCCTATGAAAAAAACTTATTTCTTGAAAAATATCATAAACTCATCAATATTAATGGGCACCTGACCGATGAAAAAGATCAGAAAGCAAGTGATTTTCAATTTCTGCTGAAACCAATGTGATAATGAATGAGAGTTTACATATACATGGTGTGCGTCTCAATACACCTTAGCGCTAAAATTGAATTCGCTATCATCTCAATGAAATATGTCAGTCTAAATGTATCCTAAAACAGTTCTTTATTAATAGAGATCGCTGTACTTTCACGTCCATGGTGACTCTCAGGTAAGAGAAACATCCAAAATTTCCTTAACAGTCACTAGAATTTTTTTTTTTAATGTTTCCTTGTTTGCTTTGTACCTAAAATTTCTCGATGAGCAACGAGTAAGAACCTCATTGAATTTTGCTTTACATTATCAGTGCATATATGTGGGTATGTAAACTGCTTAGAATTTAAAGCTTACTTGTTTCACATGTAGTCCCTTCGTAGCCAGGATCACAATCGCACGTAAAGCTGTTAACTCCATCATTACAAGTTCCTGTACTCGCGCAAGAAGTAGTAGTACAATCGTCGGTATCTGTGCAAATTGAGTTCAAAAGACAAGGAGTCGTATTAAAACAATGATCAAACTAATCTCCATGTTGACATACTTATATTTATTTCACAGATAACAGGTCGATCTAGTCAAAACTGGTAACTTAAATAAGACTAATGACAATGGAGGATAGAGTTACTTCATTTGTAAAACTATCGATAAATAAATCTATCAAAGTAAAAGGGAGTGAAAAACTCTTGTAATGTTTGAATCTTTTCCAAAATCGTGGCCTATGAAAAAAACTTATTTCTTGAAAAATATCGTTAACTCATCAATATTAATGGGCACCTGACCGATGAAAAAGATCAGAAAGCAAGTGATTTTCAATTTCTGCTGAAACCAATGTGATAATGAATGAGAGTTTACATATACATGGTGTGCGTCTCAATACACCTTAGCGCTAAAATTGAATTCGCTATCATCTCAATGAAATATGTCAGTCTAAATGTATCCTAAAACAATTCTTTATTAATAGAGATCGCTGTACTTTCACGTCCATGGTGACTCTCAGGTAAGAGAAACATCCAAAATTTCCTTAACAGTCACTAGAATTTTTTTTTTTTATGTTTCCTTGTTTGCTTTTTCCCTAAAATTTCTCGATGAGCAACGAGTAAGAACCTCATTGAATTTTGCTTTACATTATCAGTGCATATATGTGGGTATGTAAACTGCTTAGAATTTAAAGCTTACTTGTTTCACATGTAGTCCCTTCGTAGCCAGGATCACAATCGCACGTAAAGCTGTTAACTCCATCATTACAAGTTCCTGTACTCGCGCAAGAAGTAGTAGTACAATCGTCGGTATCTGTGCAAATTGAGTTCAAAAGACAAGGAGTCGTATTAAAACAATGATCAAACTAATCTCCATGTTGACATACTTATATTTATTTCACAGATAACAGGTCGATCTAGTCAAAACTGGTAACTTAAATAAGACTAATGACAATGAAGGATAGAGTTACTTCATTTGTAAAACTATCGATAAATAAATCTATCAAAGTAAAAGGGAGTGAAAAACTCTTGTAATGTTTGAATCTTTTCCAAAATCGTGGCCTATGAAAAAAACTTATTTCTTGAAAAATATCGTTAACTCATCAATATTAATGGGCACCTGACCGATGAAAAAGATCAGAAAGCAAGTGATTTTCAATTTCTGCTGAAACCAATGTGATAATGAATGAGAGTTTACATATACATGGTGTGCGTCTCAATACACCTTAGCGCTAAAATTGAATTCGCTATCATCTCAATGAAATATGTCAGTCTAAATGTATCCTAAAACAATTCTTTATTAATAGAGATCGCTGTACTTTCACGTCCATGGTGACTCTCAGGTAAGAGAAACATCCAAAATTTCCTTAACAGTCACTAGAATTTTTTTTTTTTATGTTTCCTTGTTTGCTTTTTCCCTAAAATTTCTCGATGAGCAACGAGTAAGAACCTCATTGAATTTTGCTTTACATTATCAGTGCATATATGTGGGTATGTAAACTGCTTAGAATTTAAAGCTTACTTGTTTCACAAGTAGTCCCTTCGTAGCCAGGATCACAATCGCACGTAAAGCTGTTAACTCCATCATTACAAGTTCCTGTACTCGCGCAAGAAGTAGTAGTACAATCGTCGGTATCTGTGCAAATTGAGTTCAAAAGACAAGGAGTCGTATTAAAACAATGATCAAACTAATCTCCATGTTGACATACTTATATTTATTTCACAGATAACAGGTCGATCTAGTCAAAACTGGTAACTTAAATAAGACTAATGACAATGAAGGATAGAGTTACTTCATTTGTAAAACTATCGATAAATAAATCTATCAAAGTAAAAGGGAGTGAAAAACTCTTGTAATGTTTGAATCTTTTCCAAAATCGTGGCCTATGAAAAAAACTTATTTCTTGAAAAATATCGTTAACTCATCAATATTAATGGGCACCTGACCGATGAAAAAGATCAGAAAGCAAGTGATTTTCAATTTCTGCTGAAACCAATGTGATAATGAATGAGAGTTTACATATACATGGTGTGCGTCTCAATACACCTTAGCGCTAAAATTGAATTCGCTATCATCTCAATGAAATATGTCAGTCTAAATGTATCCTAAAACAATTCTTTATTAATAGAGATCGCTGTACTTTCACGTCCATGGTGACTCTCAGGTAAGAGAAACATCCAAAATTTCCTTAACAGTCACTAGAATTTTTTTTTTTTATGTTTCCTTGTTTGCTTTTTCCCTAAAATTTCTCGATGAGCAACGAGTAAGAACCTCATTGAATTTTGCTTTACATTATCAGTGCATATATGTGGGTATGTAAACTGCTTAGAATTTAAAGCTTACTTGTTTCACATGTAGTCCCTTCGTAGCCAGGATCACAATCGCACGTAAAGCTGTTAACTCCATCATTACAAGTTCCTGTACTCGCGCAAGAAGTAGTAGTACAATCGTCGGTATCTGTGCAAATTGAGTTCAAAAGACAAGGAGTCGTATTAAAACAATGATCAAACTAATCTCCATGTTGACATACTTATATTTATTTCACAGATAACAGGTCGATCTAGTCAAAACTGGTAACTTAAATAAGACTAATGACAATGAAGGATAGAGTTACTTCATTTGTAAAACTATCGATAAATAAATCTATCAAAGTAAAAGGGAGTGAAAAACTCTTGTAATGTTTGAATCTTTTCCAAAATCGTGGCCTATGAAAAAAACTTATTTCTTGAAAAATATCGTTAACTCATCAATATTAATGGGCACCTGACCGATGAAAAAGATCAGAAAGCAAGTGATTTTCAATTTCTGCTGAAACCAATGTGATAATGAATGAGAGTTTACATATACATGGTGTGCGTCTCAATACACCTTAGCGCTAAAATTGAATTCGCTATCATCTCAATGAAATATGTGACTCTCAGGTAAGAGAAACATCCAAAATTTCCTTAACAGTCACTAGAATTTTTTTTTTTATGTTTCCTTGTTTGCTTTTTCCCTAAAATTTCTCGATGAGCAACGAGTAAGAACCTCATTGAATTTTGCTTTACATTATCAGTGCATATATGTGGGTATGTAAACTGCTTAGAATTTAAAGCTTACTTGTTTCACAAGTAGTCCCTTCGTAGCCAGGATCACAATCGCACGTAAAGCTGTTAACTCCATCATTACAAGTTCCTGTACTCGCGCAAGAAGTAGTAGTACAATCGTCGGTATCTGTGCAAATTGAGTTCAAAAGACAAGGAGTCGTATTAAAACAATGATCAAACTAATCTCCATGTTGACATACTTATATTTATTTCACAGATAACAGGTCGATCTAGTCAAAACTGGTAACTTAAATAAGACTAATGACAATGAAGGATAGAGTTACTTCATTTGTAAAACTATCAATAAATAAATCTATCAAAGTAAAAGGGAGTGAAAAACTCTTGTAATGTTTGAATCTTTTCCAAAATCGTGGCCTATGAAAAAAACTTATTTCTTGAAAAATATCGTTAACTCATCAATATTAATGGGCACCTGACCGATGAAAAAGATCAGAAAGCAAGTGATTTTCAATTTCTGCTGAAACCAATGTGATAATGAATGAGAGTTTACATATACATGGTGTGCGTCTCAATACACCTTAGCGCTAAAATTGAATTCGCTATCATCTCAATGAAATATGTCAGTCTAAATGTATCCTAAAACAGTTCTTTATTAATAGAGATCGCTGTACTTTCACGTCCATGGTGACTCTCAGGTAAGAGAAACATCCAAAATTTCCTTAACAGTCACTAGAATTTTTTTTTTTAATGTTTCCTTGTTTGCTTTGTACCTAAAATTTCTCGATGAGCAACGAGTAAGAACCTCATTGAATTTTGCTTTACATTATCAGTGCATATATGTGGGTATGTAAACTGCTTAGAATTTAAAGCTTACTTGTTTCACATGCAGTCCCTTCGTAGCCAGGATCACAATCGCACGTAAAGCTGTTAACTCCATCATTACAAGTTCCTGTACTCGCGCAAGAAGTAGTAGTACAATCGTCGGTATCTGTGCAAATTGAGTTCAAAAGACAAGGAGTCGTATTAAAACAATGATCAAACTAATCTCCATGTTGACATACTTATATTTATTTCACAGATAACAGGTCGATCTAGTCAAAACTGGTAACTTAAATAAGAC